AGAACAGTGCAGTCACCTGTATTCAACAAGCTCATACACATGGAGGCAAAGTTGAGCGAGAGGACATCTTTTATAGTCTCCTCTAGTAAGGCTATGTCTATAGCACCTGTTACGGGGGTTGTGGAAAAGCGACAAAGAAGGAATCTTTATAATTTTTGAACATCAGGGGTGATTTCCATCACCCCAGAGCTTCGGCACTAGAAAAGTAATCATGTCAGTCTAGACGACTGGGATGGAGTTTTGAGGGTGCAATCTCTTGTAGTACTAAAGCCCATCAGGCATTAGAGCCTCTTAAGTTCTCTACCAATTAAATACGTTAGTGAGCTGCCCAAATCATTTCATCTTCATGTCCCCCAAGCACTTAGCACAGAGCCATTCAACAAGTGGGGTCTCCGTGAATACCTGTGGGCTGAATGAACAAATGCAGCTAGGTACGAAATAATTCCAGATACATACTGGTCAGATCAAACAAAGAGGAGGTACTCGTACATCACAGGACTCAACTACTACTTTCTTATGATGATTAGAAATTCTTCCCCTTCATGGGGCACCTGGGTGGATCAGTCGGTTGAGCATCTGACTTTGGCTCAGGTCAGGAACTCGTGGTTCATGAGTTCGAGCCCCACGTCAGGCTCTGTGCGGACAGCTCGGAGCCTGGAGCCTGCTTTAGATTCTGTGTACCCCTCTCTCTCTCTCTGTTCCTCCCCTGATCACACTCTTACTGTTTCTCTCTCAAAAAACAAAGAATAAAAAAAAACAATAAAAAAAAAGAAATTCTTCCCCTTCACTATCTTACATCACATTCAAAGATTCATGCTTCACTGAAGACGAAGGGGAAACAGAACTGAAGAAAAGCAGATTTACTGGATACAGAATGAGTCATAGCCCTCAGCATCTAAAGCAACAGAAAAACCTACCAAAACCTCTAACCTTGAAAATAAAGAAAGACCTCCAAGTATTAAATTAGAAACATTCACATGCACATATACATTGAGGTGACTGTAATTTTTAACTGATTATTTATCAAGAGCCAGATATAGAAATAGAACACACAATTATAGGGGCACCTGGGTGGCTCAGTTGGTTAAGCGTCAGACTTCGGCTCAGGTCATGATCTCACGGTTCGTGGATTCGAACCCCGCATCAGGCTCTGTGCTGACAGCTCAGACCCTGGAGCCTGTTTCAGATCCTATGTCTCCCTCTTTCTCTGACCCTCCCCTGCTCACACTGTCTCTCTGTCTCTCTCAGAAATAAAACATTACAAAAAATTTTTTAAAAAATGCAATTATAATAACAGCTATAATTATCTAACACCTAATATGTAGTCAGTGGTATGCTTATATTTTACTGCTATTCTTTAGAAGTATTATTATAGTTTTAGAGATTTTAAGAAAAAGCACTAGAGCTCAGAGTAGTTAGGGCCAAAGATTACGAAGCTAATTAAGGAGACCCAAGGCTAACTGTCAACTCTTCTAAACTACAAACCCACTGCTAATTTCATGATGCCAAGTGACTTCTATTCAAGCAGAATTATCCAGCTACAGATCCATGCTTAAAGACAGACCCATCAATCACATCTATAATTATGGTCTAATGAGCAGAAAGGATATCTTAACCCCAAATGCCTGACGACACATTTGTGTTTGGCCAAAAAGCAAATCAGGCAGCGTTGAGGGAAGCTAAGGGGACATCTGATGCCCCAGGTCGCTCTCATAAAACAAAGGGAGAGGATATGCTGGTGCATCGCCCTCTGTAAACGCCCTATTTCTCTCTCAAGACTACAAATGTAAGCACACGTCTAGAAGAATGCCCCTGCGCTCGAATAACTAAACCCACACTGCACTCAATGAACCATGGATGATACTTAGAATGGGTCACAAGAGGACACGCTACAACATGCCAGAGTGAGCGAGGCCATGGCTATGCTTCTTGACACAAAGGTCTTGGGGAGAGCCAAGTTTGAAAGGAAGTCTCGCAAAAGATGTGCTGTTCAAAAGGCAGCCTGTAAAAAGCCATCAAAGCGAATACTCAAAGGACCGTCTCTGTTAACCACAGACTGTGTGGTCAGCAAGGTTAGTTTCACGTCAGACACACCCTCCGAGAAGAGGCACCGTCACCAAGAGTTTCACTGCAGAAAATCGCCACACGTACATGCAAATAAGATGGTCTAGGGCACAAAACAGTTTTGGCGTCTATCTACAGCTCCTCTTATCCCATCCCTCAACACCCTGCAAGAATAAACTATGACCCAGCAGTAGCACTGCTAGGAATTTATCCAAGGGATACAGGAGTGCTGATGCATAGGGTCCGTGTACGCCAATGTTCACAGCAGCACTCTCAACAATAGCCAAAACATGGAAAGAGTCTAAGTGTCCATCAACAGACGAATGGATCAAGAAGATGTGGTTTATCTATACCATGGAATACTCCATGGCAATGAGAAACAATGAAATCTGGCCATGTGTAGCAACATGGATGGACCTTGAGGGTGTTATGCTGAGCGAAATAAGTCAGGCAGAGAAGGACAGATACCATATGTTTGCACGTATAGGAGGATTAGGAGGAACTTAACGGAGGACCATGGGGGAGAAGAAGGGGAAAATAGTGGGGGAGAGGGACGGAGGCAAACCATGAGAGACTCTTGAATGCTGAGAACAAACTGAGGGCTGATGGGGGTGGGGGACAGGGGAAGGGGGGTGACGGGCATGGAGGAGGGCACTTGTGGGGATGAGCACTGGGTGTTATATGGAAACCAACTTGAAAATAAACTATTAAAAAAAAAACTTAGGGTGTTACCATGATCTAGTGTCTCCTTGATCTTTCCTGTTTCTCTTTGCTCTGTACAAATGTTGACAGAATAAATTAAGCCAACGGATATAGTACAGTATAATTCTCCTAGATGCTTGCCTTGAAAACACAAATGTCTTCCAGGAATGCCACAAATATATTAGAGAACAATTTAAGAATACGGCGAAATTTGCACATGTCGATGCACAATTTTGTCCTAGAAACTCGAAGTGAATGTAGCAAACACACCTAACTCTTAGGGCTACACAAACCCCGCAGACATGCACACCCCAGGATCACCATCGTACACGCTTGTCCACACCTACGGCTGCTGCTCCCTCTTGAGTCCAAGTATCTCGCCTTCCGCTTCACGGTGACTGGCAAGCTGCCACACTTCCAAAGGCCAGCCTGGGGATGGGGTGTTCAATTTTCCCCTCTCCACCCAACTGATTAATTTTCTTCTCTGTTCTTTGTTCTTTTTCAGAATTTTAATCTTTACTTTTTTCCCCTCCTTTTCTTTTGCACACAAAGCAGTAGGCACGTGAGGAGTCGATGAAATGTACACACATTTCCGCAAGCAAACATCAGGTGTTTTTCAAGACACCTTGTTTTTACATATTTTGTAACCACTTAACATGGATAAAACTGGGCTATTGTTTTTAATAGGTCACTACCATTGTTGTATGTGTGTCAATGATGATGTTTTTGAGCGCTAAACTCCAATTTCACTGTCTTATTAGTTGGTGGTTTCAGATTCTGCAGAGCGCAAGTGTTTTTAGGAATATGTATGTCACATTATAATAGAATGGACTATATATTGAAATTTATCAGTGGTGACCTTTTAGTCCTGAAGCTTCAAGATTCTTTATCAGTGTTACGGGCTAGTTTGTAAATTAGGTTAAATACATTAGCATCCATGGTCTCAAATTATAACTCTTTGTGTGAAATTCACCATAACTTGAAACAATATGATCTGAACAGACTCGGACTGAACTAGCCAGTTTAATTTAGGTCCCCCCTTTTTTTTTTGTTTAAAAGGTTCTGAAAAATTCTATCTAAATCATGATATATATTAATGCTTTCACCATTGAATCTGAACTGTAATCTTTACTGAATTATTAGCAAACAGCATATTTTCCACAGTAACTTTTTTGAGGCTTCTTTGTAGGTGGTGAAAAGAGGGAAAAAAAAATAGAAGGAAAAAAAAGAAAAACCCACACACAGTCACAATTATCTAGGTCAGATGGTTTTATCTCAACTTATTGACTTCCTTAATCAAATAATACTCACTGAGAAATTTTTCCCTGAAGAAAAACACAGGCTGGAAATAGCACATAATAAATGGGTAAAATACTTCTCTTTGCTCCTTCTGAGATCCTAAACTAAAACATGTAAATAAAAATTGAAATGATAGTATTTAAATCACAGCATTATCTCCTGGAGGATATTTGCAGTAAAAGGAGAAAAAGCTCATGTGATCTAGAGATTAGAAATCTCTACTAATCCTTTAAAGAATCTGGGTCATCTTGAGCAAGAAAAACCATTCCCACTTACTTTCTGAAGAATGCTCAGATATTCCAAGGTATCGAATGGATGTGCATTTTCATTTGCACTCACAAAAATGTCTGTACTAACCGGAAGGTATGAAAGTGGTTAAATGGGTTCCTACGGCTCTTGAATGTGAGGATAAGAAGGGTAATGGGTCCTGCATATGGCGAACTTTACAGGTATATTTCATGTATATTAGTAGAATCATACAATCACTACAGAAGAAAAAAGCAGCAAATACGAAAGCCCCTGGCAGAGACCTCAAGTACAGCAGTCAGTGAAATTTGTTGAATTGAACAGCATCAAGTAACTCTTTGGGGGTACTCTTTGTTTTGCCTCTCCTGTGAACCCCTCCATGCCCCCCCCCGCCCCCGCCAAGCCAGTCATGGGCCAATTACCTCCTGAGGGGCAATATTCCCCAGCCGTGCCCTTGAGATATGGGAACACTGAGTCATGCCCCAGGGTTTTCTCTACAAGCACTCTTACGGTAGAGACCACCCCTCTTCATGATCCAGAAGCTGCAGCACAAAGACACGTGTTCACCTTGGAGCAAACTGACGGATCATTTGTTACCAAAGATTTCCAAGAGAACACTCCCCTTGGCAAGAGTAGAAAACAAAATTTGTTGACAGCCCTGTGCCCGCCACCCCTCAGCCGGGCCTTACTTGTTCTCGTTGCTCGCATCGTAACGAGGCATTGGGTCCAGATCGTTCCCGTTCACGTCACAACTTGCCAGGGCATCCTGCAGCCGCAGAGGAGAGAACGGGAGGAGGAGACAGGCTTTCAGTAATTAGCCATGAACCTGAAGGCTCGTGCATTCCCACACACATTTCTGTAAGCGAGTAATTAGATTAAATAATACATTCATGGTTCACTGGTGTCAGGATGCCTTGTTCAGTAATAATCTGTGTTCTATTTTTCTCCTTAAGGTCAAGAAATACTCTCCTACAGATCAAGGTTCTGCTGATACATCTTCTCTTGTATCTAGAATGGACCCCTCGCCTCATTCCTTTGAAGAGGTCTGTACTGACCGCCTTATCGGTCAAGTATTCTTAGACTTTCTAGAAGCAAAGTGATTGCTTTTCCATGGGTTCTCTCTATTCCTTACTTCATTTCTTGAGTGGGCAAATTCCTTAAGATTCAAAGATTTTTGAAGACAACTCACAAATAACTGGCAAGCCAATTAAAAATCAGTATTAGAAATTTGTTCTTTTAGGCATCGTGGTGCCTCTATGAGGCAGGATTTGCCTGGTTTCAGATGTGTTGTATCTACTATAAAAGAATCTGTACTTCAGACTTTTTAGTAAAACCCAATCACCTTTTGCCCCAACAAAAATGAAACAAAGTTTTATTATACCACAAGGCTGCAAAATGAGGCGGCAAAGTGCTCTGAAATCAAAGTTGCATCTGTTTGCTTTTATTTTTTTTTTTAACTTTTAAGTTTATTTCTTTCTTTTTGAGACAGTGAGTGAGTGAAAAGGGGAGGGGCAGAGAGAGGGAGAGAGAATCCCAAGCAGGCTTTGCACTGCCAGCACAGAGCCTGACACGGGGCTCGAACTTGTGAATCCTGAGATCATGACCTGAGCGGAAACCTAGAGCTGGATGTTTAACTAAATGAACCACCCAGGCACCTCTGTTTGCTTTTATTTTTATTTTTTATTTTAGAGAGAGAGAGGCTGTGCGCAAGTGGGGGGAGAAGGGGCAGAGAGAGAGAGAGAATGAGAGAGAGAGAGAGTGTGTGAGTGAGAGAGAGAGAGAATCCAAAGTAGACTCTGCACTGAGTGTGGATCACGCCACCTCAGGGCTTGCTCCCACGACCCTGGGATTATGACCTGAGCTCAAATCAAGAGTTGGACGCTCCACCAACTCAGTCACCCAGGCGCCCCTAGGTCTGTTTGCTTTTAAAAGCAATTGTGAAAAATCTCCAACTTCCTACATTTCTTTCTTTTAAATTTCCCAATTTACAAAAAGAAATTACTGGCTTATTTCATCACTCAAATTTATATCACTGTAGATAGCATCAGAAATGCTTTGAATTTTCTGATGCTTTAGGGTAAGGTCTACAGTATTAGGGCAAGTAAATGTTATCTTTGTTTTCTATCTTTATCAAAGGCTCTTATTTCTGGGAATAACTTGTAGTGCATAGAGTCTGAGGTTTGGAGATAGTAAGTAAAATATCCGTGACAGATAAAGGTGGTAGGTAAGTCCCTGCCCGGTAGCCCCCCAGGGACAGTGTGCATCTAGTATAATTTCCTAATTTTACTTGTAAGGAAACAGGGGCCTAAGAGAGGTTAAGTCACTTGGCCAAAGGTATGACACAAACCAGCTTGTGGAACCAAGACTGGAACCCAAGCCCATCTGCCCCCCACCCCCCACCCCTCATCCAATGTGCTTTTTCTCTATATCACACCAGCTCCAACATCAAGACACATTGAGGAGGCATCAGTACTTCTAATCACACATACACATTCTGGAAAATTCTTTTCAAGAGGCAAAAACAAAAAAGGCAAAGAATGCAATCGCAATTAGAGTGAAACTATCTGTCTTTAAACAAATACATTCCGAGGTGGAGGGGAGCAGGAACATGCTATAAAAACCACATGGTGTGTGGTAAGAAAGACTTCTTTGCTGGGAGCGAGGTACCCACAGTTCTGTTCCTTACAGGACTCAGGGTCACTCACTGTGGCCTGCAGGCCTGCATTTCTGCCCTATCAACCGAGGAGACTGAACTGAAATTTCTTTTTAGCTCTCAAATTCTATGCTGTGAGGAGACAAGATGTCTGAGCGTGCTTGGCGGCAGCGTTGAGAGCAGCCTCTCAAATGTTTCATTCAAATAAGAACTAAATGAATTTGCAGTTTTTCTCTCTCTCCTTTTAACCTCAAGGACAATCATCTAGTTTAGGGGAAATCGTTTCAATATTTCATTGTGAAAAATTAATTTGCGAAGTTCCGTGGCTGAATTTTTTGAAACAAAAAGGGCAATGGGGTGGAATATTCTGAGGGCAGATGACAGTGTAAGGCGACACGGGAGGTTCTGTGTGAAGGAAGGTCTCCCGGGGTCGGAAACGGGGGTGACTGTGAGCCAGGGGTGGTCTCTGAGGGGCCAAGGAAGGGCCTTGGAGGTCTTTTATTTGCAAAGGTAAAATGGCGTCTCTTCAGGAAAATTAATTCAAGCGTCATGACACGAGTGAGACGGAGCAAACGAGAACGGAACATGGCAGTACAGCAAGTGCAGCCATTTCTACCGAAATGGTTTCTCGGTAGGTAAGAGAGAGAGGCCACAGGAGAAATGGTCACAGAGGCACCGACCCACGGGGATACCCAGGGTGCCGGGAAACCAAGCCTTCCCATGTGCTGAAGGAGACAGAGATACAGGGAGATCAGATTTCAAGAAGGAATCGCATCCCTGTCTCTGAAACTTGGCCTTACGGAACAGGTGAGGTCTTTTCTGAGTGAGCCCAGGACAACATTCCTCAGGGCCACTCAGAGGAATGTGTCTACATGTTACTAAGGAACAGATAGGCGAGAGAGACAGCAGGCACCCCGGGAAGGGAGTCCTTTGTGCTAATGTGCACGGGGAACCTATGGGCAGGCCCCATCTCACAACTCTCTGCCAACTTAGGGTCCAGTGTGATGCGCTGGGCTGGCTGAAGTCACTCCCTTAATGACCATGAACTGGAACAGAGAAGACAAAAATCTGAAGGGATATGGTCGTCCCAGTTCTAGCCCAGGGTGGGTCCCCTCTGTAAGCACGGGACAAAGCTTCCCACCCTGGCCCGTGACTTTTCCTCCTTTAGGGTCAATAAGAGTCCTGCCAAGGGCAGTGGACTTCGCCATGATTTAGAGCTGCCTATACTCTTGGGGACACGAAAGGAAACTCGTAAGCAGATAGAAAATTCCTGATTTTAAGGGAAACCTTTTTTCAATACCAACGTGAAATATAATTTAGGAAGATTCACCGCGGCCAAACTTTTGGAATTAAAAGGAATGGGGGAGAAAGAGAAGGGAGATGTGGGTAAAACCAACTGAAGTTTACATGCCACACAGATCAGTGTTCGTGGGTGGAAACAGCTGTCAACAGAAAAGAGGTCCCGGGGAAAGTCGGAAGACATGGGTGTCAGTTCTGCGGAGCCTGGATGGGAATCGGAGTTTTATCTGCAGATAGTGAGGGATCACTGCTGCTCTCTATCACAAAAGAAATGTTTCAGAGAGAACACAAGGGTGTTAGGCAACACAAATTGGGAGCAGACAGAGAAGGGCATTAGTGAGAGATAATTATGGCACTTTCAACCAAACTGAGAAAGCAGAAGCCAATGGGAGGAATGATCTTGGACAGCAGAGGACAGAGGGGTCCTTGACACACTTCTAGGCAGTGGATATCATGGTGGTAAAGGGAACCCAGAGGCCTTAGAGGCAGAAACTGGCCCCAGTGTTCGGTGGGCACTGGGTATCAAAACCAGGATTTGCAGAGAAAGTACTGAGCCTCAGCACTTTCACTAGCTCCGTGGTCTTGGGCTCACCCTACATCCTCCCAGAATCCTGGAATCCCTATTCCTTCTTAAGAAAGGGAACTGACTGGGGCGCCTGGGTGGCTTGGTCGGTTAAGCGTCCGACGTTCGCTTAGGTCATGATCTCGCGGTTCGTGGGTTCGAGCCCCGCGTCGGGCTCTGTGCTGACTGCCAGCTCAGAGCCTGGAGACTATTTCAGAGTCTGTGTCTCCCTCTCTCTCTCTGACCCTCCCCTGCTCACGCTGTCTCTTTCTCTCCTAGAAATAAATAAAAATATTAAAAAAAAAAAATAAAAAAGAAAGGGAACTGACTGCTGCCTCCTAGGTCTAGTGGGAAACTGATCATTATTGTCCTTGAAAAGGGAGAGGAAGAAAGGGACCAGTAGAATCACTTGAGCAATGTTCTAAGTTCGATTTTCTCCATAAAAGAAACAGTGTGTTGCCTGGCTGCATGGACAAGTCATTGAGAAGAGCAGTCATGGTCAGTAGCGAACGGTGGTGATGATGGTGGGGTTTCTGCTGCCTTATCCCCTGCTTTTTGTCATCAGACCATCAAAGGCACTTGCAAGTTGAAAGCAGTGTCTCCTACTTCCTGCATTCAGAGGGCGTGTCTTTTATTAGATGGAATCGCTACACGGAGCCTGCTGTCTCTGCTGACTGCATTTCTGATGATCCTGATGCGAGTCCCCTCGTTTCCCCAGGGGGAAGGTGCTCCCACCACAGCACACACTCACATAGTTCTGCATCAGGTCCGGATGGGTCCTCTCAATGCCATCGTCCAGGATGGTCACCACAATGTTCTTTCCCGTGTAGCCTCTCTTCCAGGCTCCTTCGATATTCATGTCTGACTGGCAGGGATGTGTATTGTCACTGCAATGCTATGGAAGGAAGAGGGAGAAATCAGACGGTGCAGATTACCAATCATCGGAAGGTGGGAGAATTACCTACTTGTCGAGATCATGCACTGAGTTAACGGAAATCTGGCAATTCCCTGAGGAGCAGACGCACCGGTGTCTAGCATAATAACAGGAGAAAGTAGGAAGCATAGATGTGCGGAAGGCAAGTGTAATAAAAGTCTCTTCCGCCAGCTCGGCCCTGTCCAAATACCATAGATCCTTTGGGAAAAAGAGAATAAAAGAAAGTATCTCCCAACAGGAGAATAACGGATGTATCATTTGATTGTTAGCATGAATCGATGGCACATAAAAAGGCTTTGTGACATTTCATTTCTAAACTCAAACTCGGTCACTGAAGGACATATACTTGATAATTTCTTCCCCAGGCACCTGGAAGCCAAGCTAGCCAAGAACATGAGAACTCGGGCAGCTCGTGTACAGTGTCTGCCAGAGGTGTGCGTCCGTGAGAAACTCACGAACGAGAAAAAAAGTAACAGTTCTGTCAAATGTCATTTGATGAATTTACCATGGCGGTCGTACCATAATAGGTAGGGTGCAAACACACTCAGTCAACGGTGCTTTGAGAAGAGAAAGAAGAAGAGCACCGGGTCCGGACAGGTGACATGCACAGGGAATGTGTGTGAGGGCTGGAGAAACACGGAATCTTAAGCACATTATGTATGGTCAATTTCATTCCACAATGGCTGCGCCATAGAAACATAGCAAGAAATGCATTAACCCAGCCTCTCCTCCTGATATACCAGCATTTGCCCAACCCGCACAAATGCCTCCTCCAAGTGTATCTCTTTCAAATGTCCCTTTAAGTGATGTGGTTTCCCAGGTTCTTAAGACTTCGGTAGAGAAACAAAGGAACAAAGATGTGCTGTGACATCATGCTGTCGTAACATGGGCCACCCCAGATCCTCCCACTCTCGATTTTCTTCCTGCTTTGTGACAGCTCGGCTCTTCAGGAGGGGAAGAGAACACAAGCTTTGTAGGTTCTGGGCATAATGGGGACCTGACTGCCATGGACTCACGTAGCATACATTTTTTTTGAGCACCTACTATATGCTGGGGTATGGCGGCACACAAGGCAGATGAGGTCTCTGTCCTAATGACCTCTCTAAGGAGGAGAGACAGATAATAAAAAATAAATAAGACCATTCAGAGCACTCCTTGGCTTTCAAAGGAATTAAAGTGGCTGATGATGGTGGACACCGAGGGACCAGAACACGCTGCTCTAGGTGGGATGGGAGGTCTCAGGAAGTGAAATCAGACCTGATGCCTGATTGGTGAGAAAGATCTGCTTTGCCCAGAGCCTACAGCTAAGTGTTCTTGGTAGAGGACACAGTAGATATAAGGTAGGAAACAGCTTTAGCACATTGAAGAAGGAGCAAGATGGTGGCGTAAGGATGAAGCATAGGGAACAAGGGAAAGAATGGTTTGGAAGGCAGCCAATCAGAAGGGGGAACGAGGTCAGACCATCCATAACTGGGCCTTTATTCTAACTACAAGCTAAATAAATGGAAGCTCGTCTCTTTCCAAACTTCATCCATCAAAATCTGATGCTAAATGGAGACAGACACCTCTAACAGCCCCTGACATGAATCTGCAAATTTATTCTCCAAATGAGATTGCCTTTTGTTGAAAGTTAGAAACACACTTGAGTAGTTTTGGGAATTCGTCCTAGCAAAGGGTGCACCCATTGTTCACCACAGATAACATCAATTTCATGGCGAATGGGGGCTTATATATTTTATGAACATTTGTATCTTTTTCTCACCTTCTTGACTTCTTTCTGACATTTGAGGCCCTGCGCATGCATGCACACAGACACATTCTCTGACATTGACCCAAATTCCATTCTCCCCACCTGTCCCCTGTTTTCCAGGCACACCTCAGCCCCTACCTCTTCCCACAGAGACTTCTCATGGCCTTCAGCCTGCTCGTCTGTCTCTTCTCCTTCCCTGAACTCAGGGTGGACACAGACAGACAGATCCACAAACACGTTCTGCCCTACACAACCCAACTCCTACTCACTAGATTCTGTTGAGCTGCTGTTGACTGTTGAATCTTGTGTGTGGATTTTGTCTTATTGATTGTGAGCTCCTACAAGACGATGCATTAAACGAAGTCTAACCTAGGATTTCAGTCAATAGTGGGCTGGTTACACGCCAGAAGTGAGGACATATTCCTCAACCTTATCTCCAAGTGCATAACTGCTATTACACTCCTCTCTCTGGCCTCGTCAGAGGCATCGAGCCAGCTAATGCTTGGTGAATGGAGATGATCGTGAAAGAAACCGTGTAGATTTCTGAAATGCTCATGTTGTCCAGAAGCCTCCTTCTGGCCAGAAGTGTGGGCCTCTCGTCACCAAACACGGTAATGGGAACACAAAGGAACCCTGACAGGTTTCCATTTCATTTTTCTCTTTCTCGAAACCTGTTCTGGCCACCTGTGGTATCGTCTGTGACATGAAGTAATGTTAATGTGGCCAAGAGGTGGGCTGGAGGAAGGAAAGGCACAGGAAATGGGTAGCCCACAAATGCGCTGGACTGGAGCGATGCCGCCTGAAATTGTAATTATGAAAATGGAAGAAAACCAGCCGTCAATGGAAAACATGTGTGTTAAAAGTGAAGCAATTAGGTTTCTTTCTTCCACCTCTGCTTCTGTTGCTTCTGACTTTAACAGATTAAATATCTCTGTACCACCTTTTCTTCTTTTCATCTGCCAACAGGGAAGGAGAAGGAGAGGAAATATCCAATTGATACTTTTATTTGGATAATCTAATAGAGCAAGTAGCCAAAACTTCAAAGGAAAAAATAAATCAGTGCCTGGAAGGTTTCTTGCAATTGAGTAATTAGGTCAGAGGACCCTTAAGTCAGAACCTTAAATTCCAAATGGGATCCTTAGGTGTTTAACACATATTTTTAAATAATATATATATTTTTAACATTCATTCATTTTTGAGAGACAAGAGAGAGACAGAACATGAGCGGGGGAGGGGCAGAGAGAGAGAGAGAAGGAGACACAGAACCCGAAGCAGGCTCCAGCCTCTGAGCTGTCAGCACAGAGCCTGATGCGGGGCTTGAACTCACAGACCATGAGATCATGGCCCGCCTGAGCTGAAGTTGGACGCTTAACCAGCTGAGCCACCCAGGCGCCCCTTTAACACATATTTTAAGTGTTCCAGGCTGCCAAACAGCCTGATATGGCTGCTTCATACATCCAAGGTATCCAAAGAGCAAAGACTGGAAAATATTGATGCCAGTCAACAATGCCCAAAGATGAGAATTAATCACTTCCTTAACGGCCTTGTTGAAATGGTCTTTAAATCGGTCTCTACTTGACGCACATCTGTGTTACAGCATCACCCAATGGCCAAAGGGACATAGGTTAGCCATGATCTCCTCAAACACAGTCAATCATGTTGAGATCCCTGCCAGAGCTGAAACTATCGACTACTTTTTCAAATTGTGTTACCACACACGTAAACCTGTATTCACAAAAGAGGCCAGTCAGACCCTTCTAGCTATCCGAAGCTGATGAAAACCACATTACGTGCACACTATACGCAACATAAATATTTACAGTAAATGTATGCACCTTCAGGTCTGAATAATCTGTCTTTCGATGACGGTCTAGGCACAGGTGACTCAGTATTTAGAAACACCACGAAATGGAAACTATCTGCAGAAACGATTGCTACCTATGTCTCCCACTTCCTCATCCATAAAAGCTTTCATTCTTTTTAGGAATGAAATTTTAAAGAGTTTCCTCTGGGAGTTCTAGAAGTGGCCTTTTCCACGACCAGGGTTATGAGCCATTCTGCTTCTAAACCACCCTGGGTGTGTCTGCTTTTCTGGTGTCTTTATAAACACATCACAGCGTTTGCTCATTAAGTAAAGACTCTATCCTAAAAATAAACACCTTTGTTATGATCTCACCATTGTTTGGGGGGGGGGTGGGGGGAGGCAGAGGACGACTCTTGTGTCATTCTTTGTAAAGTTCTCTAAGTTCTGAGGGTCTTCACTAGCCTGCCGAATTATATGCTGCCAACAGCCGCTAACACTGAAAACATCCATGGTTCACTGTTACCAGCACAGTGGCTCCTAAGAGGGCATCTCTGACTATTTAGTGTTGATAAGAAACCAGAATTAAATACATAACAATTCTGCTTTATAGATGGATTCAGAAACCTATCTAGTCAACTCAGTAAAGTGTGTATATACTTGAAATTCATTGTAGAATGTAGAGTCCAAAAGATGTAAGAAGCTGAAACAAACACTAGAATCGATACTCCCTTAAGGGGAAATATAACTGATACCTACAAGATCCTTACCATGGCCAAGCATTGGACTAGCCACTTTATGTGGTCTAAGATTCAGAACAACTGTTTGAAGGCAGTACTTTTATCATCTGCTTTTAGAAGATTAAGAAAAAAATGGGGGGGGGGGGGGCGGTTAATCAGCCTAGGGAATCTTCCAGAGTTCACACAGCTGGTCAATATTAAAATGAGGTTTCAAAAGGAAGCAGTCTGACACCAGACCATAGGCTATGGAAACTCTTCTGTTAAAACAGAAGGGGCTTAGAGCAAGACACAACACACACAAATTCCTGGGTAGATAAGGAGTAGATGTTCAACAATACAGCACCAGTAAAGAAATTCGAATCACAAAAAATCTCACTTGCCTTAGCACTGTGATCAGCGCATTCAAGTGATAAGGCAGAATACAGTTGAGTAAGACTTTAGGGACCTAAGTTTTCCCAATTTACTTATTCCAACACATTTTTTAGGAAATCACCTAATGACTTAATTTTATTATTAGTAGTTTCAATGACGCAGAGCTCACTTCTTTACTAAATAGCTAATGACTGCAGGTAAATCAGTTCTTTCAGAAAAAAGAAAAAAAAGCTTGGGGCACGTGGCTGGCTCAGTCGGAAGAGCCTATGACCTTGATCTTGGGCTGTGAGTTCAAGCCCCACATTGGGAATAGAGATTACGAAAACAAATTAACTTTAAAAATCCCTTATTTGTAGTGTTTGCCAATTTCCATGGTATAAATCCTCACATCGTGGCCAGTTTTAAACCACCACACAAGCGAAATTCCTGAATGTTTAACAATGAGCTCTCATGCGCTCTTAGAAGACAGATCCCACACTGCAGGGAATGGCTCACTCCACTGTTAGCCTTGCTCTGTTTAAGATGAAGTTGTCCCTTCCAATGGGCCTGACATCTACTCATCAGTACTTGGGAACTACTGGTAAGTACCCAGGCATAGCTTTCTCCTTCACAGTTGAAGAACAATTGTCAGACAGTCGTTTTACTACTTCTTGCATTTATTTGGAGATCTTTCACCTTTCTTTCTCAAGGCTACCTGAAGAAGTTGGACTTTGGACTTTTGCAGGAAGCTGATGGGCTCTTCTTGGGATACATGAATTAGAGATTCTGTGACTCCAAAACCAAAGAGGACTTCACAGGTTCTTGAAAATCTCATTTAAGCTAGGGAAGCCCTAAAACAATTACTATTATGAATCAATCTGATGGATTTTAAATCCTTTGCTATCAAACACATTTGGGGGAGGGGAGAAGGATGCTCCTGGCCCAATGTCGACTTATTCAAGGATGATTATTCAATTTGTGAATTTTCCAGCAATTCCAAGGAAGTCCAGTATGTTTTATTAACACCAAACTTGGCATAGCAAATAACTACTACTGCCGGGGGAATCAGAAGAGGAAAAGTTAAATCCCACCTCTGCTACTTTCCAGCTACATGACTTTGTCAATTTCTCCTATATTCTTAAAACACGATCTATAGTTTGAGTGCAGAAAACTGCCATAAAAATGAAAGAAGATAAAGTACGTAACAAATGGTACTATCATCACAAACATGTTGTTGCTGAGAGCACAGACATAGGAGACACCAGTGTTCCCAATAGTTTATAAAAGAACACTAGTTAGAGAAAGAGACAGACACAGAGATTACCATAAAATAGTAAGATAATGGTTTTCTTCATTGTCTGGAAACGTAAATCATACAAAGTTGAAAGGGCAACTGACTGTATGGGTAGCTAGGATGACCCGAATAGTCTACACCTGTGGCTGTGGGTCTAGAGACTAGGGATGAGGTGACGGAGTAGAGAACAGGGTCCAACTATTCTGTTACATTGGTCAGGTGGCCTCCTATGAATCATCACACCTTATTACTATTTTTTTTTTTTTACTCCACACATTTATACCAGTATTCCAACCCTTCCAGAATCATGGTTCAAGTCTACCATAGTTTTGACAGAGGATCATTTCTCAGTTACAAAATCTCAGGGATGTCCCACATAATGTCAAAGAAACAGCAGACAGCAGCAGATGTTAGGAGAGGAAAGACTGTAGGGTATAAAAATGTCTATATGGAGGAAAATGAGAAAAAAGCCAGCTCTGAGAATTCTACTCATAACTGAGGGTCAAGAAATTGAGTCAGTATAGTCAACTGCTCTTTGACAAAGGAGTAAGGCAATACAAGACACCAAAGACAGTCTTTTCAATAAATGGTACTGGAACAGCTGGACATCCACATGAAAAAAGGACACCTGGGTGGCTCAGTCAGTTAAGTGTACGACTTCTGCTCAGGTCATGATCTCATGGTTTATGAGTTGGAGCCCCATGTCGGGCTCTGTGCTGACATCTCAGGGCCTGAAGCCTGCTTCAGATTCTGTGTCTCCCTCTCTCTCTGCCCCTCCCGTGCTTGCTCTCACTCTCTCAATAAATAAATAAATAAATAAACAAGCGTTCAAAAAAGAAAAAAAAGAAGAAGTGCATCTAGACATAAACTTACATATTTCACAAAAATTAAC